TAATCTACCATTAACATATAACTCTAACCTTCATAACTTACTCTCAAGCTATAACTCATTTCTAATGATCACTAGAAATATGAAAGAGTTGATAGTGTGTTACCGTGCTTCTTGCTTGCTATAAACTCTCTCAAGTTAACCAAGGAGTAACTTCTCTTTCCCACTTACTTTAGAGTTTTCTCCCACCTCCCTTACTAAACAAAGACAAGAAAAGGGGTTACTAAACTAACTAAGTTCTTGGATTAAAACTTAAGATGCTCTAGGTAACTTGAATACACTATAACCAAGCTTGGATTCATGGATCCCCTTAATTTTCATAAAACCCATTTTTGAAAAAAAATCTAAAACTTACAAAATGAAACTTAAAACAAAGCTTGAAGGATTGAGGAAAACATTCTTACATTGGCTATAACAAACTAAGCTTAGAATACTTAAAACTTGGCTCTTGAAAGAAAGAAAAAATAGAAACTAATGGAATGAGAAAGAAGAAGAGTGGGTGAGATATTATAGGGAGTTTGGTTACGTGGAATGATATAAAAAGAGTGGAAAAGCTTTCAGCTTTAACAAAAAGGATAAACTACACTTTAGGTCATTATATTATTTACTTACTTTTAAAAACACCACTTTCCTATAACTATTGGGCCAACCTGAGCCCAATACTCTTAAAAATTGGTCTAAAATTGGCTTGGAAAATCTAATGGGCTCTACTAACGGGTCTCGGGTTGACCGAAACTACTAACCCGGAATACGGGGCATTAAAGGGAGGATTTGGCCCAATGGGAGTGATTGCCTCTCCATTATAGCTTAAATATATAATAAGTGTCCAAATTATAGTGTTTTTCACGAATATGCGTTTACATTATTTTTTTAATGTTCCCGGTGTCTGACGTTACAAGTATTACCACTTTAGGTGCTCGGACCGTCAACGGTGTTAATTTCCTCCGTTAAGTGACATATGTCAAAATCTAGTAATTTTGAAATTTATTTTTTAAAAAAATATTATTATATTTATAAAAACTCTAATTTAAGACAAAAAAACTCCAAAATCCCTAAAATTCCTAAATCCTAGCCTAACCTGCCACCGTTGCCCTTTCCGACCACGACCACTGCCAACGACGTAGCCCCTGTCATCCTCATGGTCATATGTCCACGTAGTTGCCGTCAATTGATTGTCGGAATCGCGTGAGATCATGATTTTCATCCTAGGGTTCGCAGGGTATAAAACTTTGATTCACCATCAATCGGTCGTCAATCAGTCACGATTTGATAGGGGTTTTCGTCGCTGGGGGAAGTTGAGGTCAAGTGGAGCTTCATTTAGGACAAGGGGCAGTGGTCAGCGTGGTTTTAGAGGTTGAAATTAATATTTTCAAAGTTTTGGTGTTATTTTTTAATTTTCTATTTTTTGTTTAAAAATATATATAATTTCAAATTTTAAAGAAAAATTTTAAAATTACCAATTTAATGGAGGAAATTAACACGGCTAGCGACCTAGACACCTAAAGTGGTAACGTTTGTAACGTTATGCACCGAGATCATTCAAAAAATAATTTAGGCACTTATTCGTAAAAAAACACTATAGTTTGATCCCTTATTTTATAATTAAGCCTTCCATTTTCAAAAACCATCCACACAAATTGAAGCCGAAAAGTGGAACAATAAAGGGGTCCTCAAAACCAACTCATGTCATTTCCATTGCCAAGTTGAAAGCATAGCAACGAAGAAGAAAAGAATATGGAACTTTTAATTGTCCGTTGGCTTCATGTCCCGACACTCCGGCAATGATACAGCATAACGACGAGGACTCGTGGTTGTGCCGGGCCGGTGGGGCATGGGTACCCGGTTGGGGTAGGGAGGTGGCCATAACTCTTAATATAAAGTCAAATTAATATAGCAAAAACCTTCACTTTTTTACTCCAAAATCTCATCTAATCATACCCAGCAAAGCAAAATGTTTTAATTTAGGGTAAAATAAACCTTTAGATCATTCAATTATAAGGGTTATTTTTCTTCTAGAAATTATAATTTAGTCACTCAATTAAAATATTATTACAAATAAGTCACTAATCGTAAAATATTAGATGGAATAGTAATGTGACATGATATAATACTCATTCCGTCCCATAATTTGTGTCATATATTAACTATACACATAGTTTTTGGTAGGCATGGGCACGGATCGAAATAAAATCCGAACTCAGCCTGACCCGACTAGAAATAATAATAAAAATATTATTTTTATTCAATAAATGAATAAAAATAAGAATTTAATTGAAAAAAATAATATATAGATGGGTATTATTATAATTATCTCTAAATATATAAGGTAAATTATTTTTTTCGGGTCGGGTTGGGTATTTTTCACCCCAAACCCGAGCCCTACCCAACTCGAACATTACCTATAAAAAACTCGACCCGACTCGACCCAAATAAAAAAACTGACCCGATCAAATCGGGTCAGGTCGAAACCCCTTTAGCTTCAAGTTCCATGCCCATCCCTAGTTTTAGGAGGTATATTTTACTAAGGGAAATGACAAAATTATCCTTAAAAAGATGATTGATAGAGCTAACTGATTTATTTTTGTAAGTGTAAAAAAGTGATACATATATGGGTAGAAAAAAATATGAGTATTGTTATTTATTAACTTTTTTAATAATACATTTTAAATGGGAACATTTTATAAACCAAAAAGACACTTTTAACGCGATAGGGGAAGTAATAGTTTTAGTCCCAAAACTTATAGGTTCTATCAATATGGTATTGATTCAAATCAGTTTAATTAATTTAATCTTTTTTTCTCTCAAAGCGTTTGTTCTTCTCCATAAAATTTATATTATTTTTATGGTATAATAACAATTTAACATTAACTTGTTGTTTTATGAAAGAACAAAATTATTTTTAAATATGAAAGATTATTTTATTGACTGAAATATTATAAACTTGAAGAATAAAATTATTGTTATATCAAATTACATTAGACACGTCTATTTCAAATTTAACAATCACTAAATTATTTGTAAAAATATTTTAATTAAGTCACTAAATCGTAACTTAAGAAGATAATCTATTTATAATTGAATTATTAACTAAATGACCTAAAATGTATTTTACCCTTTAATTTAATGAAGTAAACCCAAAATGTATGGTATAAAAACGAATGCGGGGGGAGCAAGCCTCATGGCCATATGCCCAGATTCCTCTCCTTTTTTAAATTATTAGTAAATTAGCTGACTCTATTCCCATATGTAATGGGGTAAGGGGGAGGTAAGATAGTAGGTTACTCCCAATGCCAGGTTGAGAGCAGCTTCCGCGGGAGACTTCCAATTATGAATTGCCCACCGTGAAATTTAATCTCACGACCACAAGGTTAAGAGCCTTATGTTTTACCAACTAAGCTGGACAGACAATTATTAGTATTATTAGTCATTTTACATAATCAAACTCAAAGCCCTACACGACACCCGACAGCAATATCAATGTCGCATTTAGAGGAAGCTGATATTTTATTATTATTAAAATACACTTATAAAAATCACTGAATTCGGTGATCTACATATGCATATACGTGCATTCAATATTGGCCTTGGAAACCAAATTGAAATGACAGGCTACATGTGTGTATTTAACTCCAACATGGATCAAATCTTTACTTAAATTATCTTTTACAGTATTGAATTGATTTAAGTTATGGCAATCACATGCAATGGGACGGCAACGGGTCGGATTACGTTGATTTTTTTTGTCAAAATTCGATCTGATTTTAAAATATATATCTTCCACTCAATTATATATTCTCCATCCAGTTCAATCCGACATGAAAAATATATATTATACACCCTACTCTGACCTGATTCAAATTTTCGGAGTATAAATCCAGTCTGATTCGATATAAAATAAGTACTTCATTAAAAATAATAATAAATTTTTTTAATGACATTACATGAACCTAATCTTACACGACCTCACTACCTTAAAAACCACGACCCAATTTGACCCAAACCTATTTTTTTAAAAAAAAACTGACCTTATCAAATCGGATCGGGTCGAAACCGTCGATTTCAAATTAAATTACTATCCCTACATGGTATGCTGCTGCTACGAGTCAACTTGGGTCAATAATTGGCAGCCCCAATCTCGATTCGGTCCGGGACGGATCACATACTGACGGATCAAAAGGAAAAAGTAGAATAAACATTGGCCCTTTGATTAAGGCCTCATGCCAGCCAATGGACAAATGCAAAATACACAATTTAGCAAAAGATCCGATGGCTGCCGGAGGCGATCACCGTTGTAAATACGAATAGACATTTGATCTAATTTGATTTAATGAGATCAAGTTTTTTTCTTTCAGAATTTGAGTTTCAGCCGGTTGGTTTTTTGAAACATAAGGTCGAGTCGAATTTTAGGATTAAAATATTCGATCCGATACTAAAGATATAATATAGTTAATCTTTATATATTTATGAATAGTTGTTACCTAATAAAAAATAATTATATATATTTGTGTTGGGACCGTCCCAGAACAGGGACGAAAGGGTGTAAATATCCATTGTTCGAAAGATGCTTGCAATGGATAGGCAGACTAGCGTTCGCCATGTCTATCGGGAAACCAACCAAGTAGCTGATAAGCTTGCGGCTATAGCAAGGGGAAAACCAGTTGGAGTTGTCCACTATCGAAGTAAAACTTAATACGTTTAATACCTAAACTACCGATTTAGGTTAATTTTACTACTTAAACTTTTAATTTTGGTTTAATTTTAAGAAAACGTAGAACATTTTCGATCTTTATGGATCGACATCGTTTTTGTTACGACAACTCGAAAATTGCGAGGGGTTACTACAGTACAGACAACTTGGCCTAATTCAAACAAATGGAAACCAAGTACCATTTTTTTTATTCAACACAAAAGCAAATACACATGATAGGTGTAAGCGATGCATTCCCAGCAGCATTTATGTTTAACAAAACCTACCTAAAGCCCCATACAAGCTATCTAGCTAGCTACCTCGTATGCATCTCTTACATCCCGTAATTCAACACTACTTTAGTCCTAAAAACACAAGGTAAAAAAAAAAAACATGCAGGGTACACGTGTTTAAACAAAGGAAAAGAAAGAAGGTTTTTTTTTCTAAAGTAAAATCGGACCGCTACCCTCAATTCCCCGCGATGCAACGATGCTGCTCTCCCGGTTCTGCCTCTTTCACCGAGCTAGAAACTCAGGAGAGCGCAATTGCAAAGCCTTGTTTGTTTCCTTTCTGCTAATCGTTTTCACCAGTAATGACAAAAGAACCGTCGGTCGTCGCGCCACCGACAACCACCGCCGTCGCTTCCGTTGTGTTCACGGCCGATACCGACACATCGTCGCAGGTTGCCGGTAACCATCGTTGAGTTTAATCAGGGTCTGAACTCTGTAAAGCTATATGTGTAGAATAGTTTTAGTGAAGAAAAGATTGGATATAGGCGTGAGGGGACATGATGGGTCGTATATAAAGGCCACAACCTAGCTTTTTTTGCTTTGCTTTTCTTTTTTCTTTTTTGGTTAATTTAATTAAAATGTTTTTCGAGTAAAATTTTTGATTTTTGGAGTTGGGTTAAAGGCATGTTTGTGGGGAAATGCAAACAACTCCACTAACTCGATTTCCAAGGCTCTTGGAGTTTTCGTATTATTCTCATTGACGAGATAAAAAGTGGGAATATCATATCGAGTCTGATTTGAATTTTTTATTTATTTACTTTAATTAAATTTAAATATGAAGGTGGTTTGTTAACTGCCATTTTAGGGTTTTTCGTCAAGGGCAGATGCTGTGGGGTCAAGAAAAAAATGTGAAATTTATTTTAATATGTTAAGTAAAATGGAAAAAATAAATTTTTTTATATACCCATTACTTTTTAAAAATATTAAATATTAAATTTTATTCTTAAATTTCTGGATCAATTATTATTCTTTTATATATATATATATATATATATATATATATATATAGATAGATAGATTAACAATGGTCTCAATCACTCAGCTCAAGATAAATAAAAGTGTTGACGGCCAACTTTTTAGTTTTATTACCCTATTATTGACAGTAGGGTAAAAGTAGTCTACTTTGCTCAGTCATTGCCTTGCTTGCTGTGCATCAATAGCAATGGCACAACCCACCAGTTCTATCAATAGCAATGGCACAACCCACCAGTTCTATCAATAGAAATGGCACAACCCACCAGTTCTATCAATAGCAATGCCACAACCCACCAGTTCTATCAATAGCAATGCCAATGGCACAACCCACCAGTTCTGTTGCACTTGAAATACGAATATATGGTAGATTATGCATTTAGTACCTAAGCTATTAATTTTGATCCGTTTAGTACCTAATTTTTTTATTTTTCAAAACAACCCACCAGTTCTGTTGCACTTGAAATACGAATATAGGATAAATTATGCATTAGTACCTAAGTTATTAATTTTGATCGATTTAGTACTTAATTTTTTTATTTTTCAAAACTATACTTAAAATTTAGTTTTTGTTTTATTTTAGTACTCTTGTACAAAATAAAACGTTAAGTTTTGGGGAAAATGGAAGTTTGGTTACTAAAAATGACGAAAACTAATAGTTTATGTACTAAATGCATTAAGCTTTTAACGATGGGTACTAAAATGAAATAAAAACTAAATATTAGATATGATTTTGAAAAAATTAAAATTTAAATACTATGCCTAGTTTAACCAAATATATATGTATATATTGACATCTCAATTTGTGTGATGCATTTAGAGATAGTAAGAAATATGTGTATTAATTTTAGATAAATTTGTATTAATTTATTTTAAAATTTGATTGGATTCAAATTTAGGGAGCACACATCCTCTCTAGTGGTTGTTCCCATTTTGAAATCTAATTTTTTTTCGACTAGTTATTTATTTTATTGGTTATGCCCATCCCATACGAAAATTTTATGTTATTAATACAAAATACTTTTGGATATGTGACTGATCCTCTATCATAATAATTATAAAGAACATATTAAATGAAACCTCTTGTATTAAGATTTAAACCATGGCATTTTTCTCGAATGAACAGTTTTTCAGTTGACAATGGGTGTTCAGAATTTTAGGGTTTAAAAGATGCCAATCGTAGGCAAAAAGAAGAATTAAATGGAACACCTTTTGCATTTTGGTCTCAGTTTTTGGTTCAGAAATGGACCGACTTTAGATCTAACTAGTGTATTCGACTTCAAAACAAAATCATTAGTATTGGTTGGGTTAAGATTCTGTTCTGTAAGATTGTTGACTTTAATACACCATTAGTCAGCAGCTCATGTTTTTTTTTAATAATCTATGGTGATTACAAAGTAGTATATGTTTTGAATGCTCTTAACCATTTGACAATAAACGCTCAATCACCTTGTTGTAGTCTATAGTGCCCGAACCCGTGACCTTTAGGAACAACAACAATTTTTTTAACCATTGAAGTAAGTTGGTTTGTGTCAGCTCATGTTTGAGCCACAGTTCTCTCTTTACTTTTATAGAACCCTAATAATTAAGATTTTTTATATTAAATCCATGTTCAAAAGACCGTTTTTAATCATCGTATCAATAACATAAGATTAATAAACTTATGATGTAATTGAGTGGATTCACTAGTTAAAAATACATGTAATTAATCATTGATGTTCGCCAACAGGTGTTGGTACAAGTGGTTTGAATTCAATAATTTGAGCTTGTAAGTTCAAATTCAAATCCTACCACCGTCACTTTTGGTGAACAATCTGTAAATTCTTATATGGATCCCAATTTTATCTTAAGTATGCCCTGACGCTGGACTGAGGAAGTCACCCTTAATCTAAACTTTTTTAACCAAAAAAATTAATCAAAGATGTTCATTAAATATGACCAATTGAACATAAATATGACGAGTAATGAGATTTATTTTTCATTTAGATTGAATAATATCAAAGATCAACTTTTAAGAATAAAAGAGTGGTAATCACGTACTAAATTAAAGAATTCCCAACTAATACAAAACTAGGTATAAAAAAAATGGATGTCCCTTGTTCTCATATGTAATGGGGTAAGTGGGAGGTAAGATAGTAGGCTACTCCCAACACTAGGTTGAGAGTAACTTCCGTAGGAGACCTCCAAATTATGAAATGCCCTCTATGAGACTCGATCCCACGACCTCAAGGTTAAGAACCTTGTGCTCTACCAACTGAGCTGGATAATCATTTCCTAATACAAAACTATGTATCTTTTTTAAAAACAATGTAAAAGTAGGAGGAAAAGGATGAATCATACCACACCTTTTTATATTTGTCAAATCCCAGTAGGGCACACAGTGACTTGAATTTCAAGAAAATAATTGTAAAAGTGGCTGTCCATTCACGGCGGTGGGACAAGAACACACCATTTCAAAGCTTGATGGAAGAAGAAACGACAAGAAAAACTCGTGGTGTACTCGGAGATTTTTAATAGGGTTTAATATATATATATATATATATATATCAAGTTAAGATGATTATAAAATTGTATTCATTCGAAATATTATTAATCATTTGATAATGAACGTTCAATCATCTTGTTGTAGTCGTTGGTGTACATATATATATCAAGTTAAGATGATTATAAAATTGTATTCATTCGAAATATTATTAATCATTTGATAATGAACGTTCAATCATCTTGTTGTAGTCGTTGGTGTTTGAACCCTTGACCTTTATAGAAACAACAACGATTCCTTTAACCACTGAGATAAATTAGTAAGTTGATTCGTGTAAGTTTTAGTACATAGAGTAATGCGTTTAGGGTTGGTTGCGCATTGCTTGTAATTTATAATGTATTTATTCTGTCATGTAGTAATTTTTTTCTTAATTTTTTTTACGTAATATATATAGTTATTATTTTATAATCAATCACTCATTATTATTCACAACACATATTTTATTTAAAGATTTGATCACGAGAAAAATGAAAAATACAAGTGGGGATAATGAAAGGTTTGGCTGTATTGCGAAGTCAGCGGTGAGATTGTGGTTTCACCTTTTGTGATCGGCCCTGCCGGCCATTTATCGACACTTCCTTCGAAAAGCTTTCCCTATGAGATTGGTGATAAGGATGAATTTGAACATAAAAAATTTCAGGAGGATAAAAACAGATTTTAATAAAATATTAAAAAAAATTAAAATATATAATAATTTTAAATTTATAGGAGTTGATTGTCCCATTCACCCCTTGGTGCATCTCCGAATATATACATTCATTTAGGCCACCGTATTATGAAGTGTCTCTTTCATCTTGCGGCCAGCAGGCTAGCGAAAGCGAAATTGTGTTGGATTTTATTAATAATGGAAGAAATTAAAATTACAAAGTATCAAAATATATACATAATTTTGGAGACAATAGTCATCAAAATACTCATACAAAAAAAAAATTAAATTGAAGTTACGAAGAAAAATAAAATATTTCAATGAAAATACGATCAACATCAAAATCCAATAACCTTCATAAAAGCTTATTGTCTCTGTCGAATGAGACACTTAACTAAGTGATAAAGGAGTGGAGAGCGAACCAAATTATATGGAGCTGTTTCGCTATACAATCTAATTACATCGACAAGCAATCTTTTACCAAATGAAGGGATCTGACTATACGTGACCACCAACTAACCAATGAGAAAATAAATGTCGTGATAGATTTTGTGCGAGAACCAAAACGACCGCAAAAGGTATGCGAAAAACGTACCAAAAAGCATGAGGATCATGCCACAAGAGCAGAGAAAACACGTGCCATAAGAGCAGAGAAAAATCATGTCACAAGGACAGAGAATCTTATTCAAAATTAAAAAGACTCAAGCAAAAAAGATAAAAAGACATAATATAAAAATACAAGAGAACTAATAGTCACAGGCGGTCGACAACCAACATTAAGATTGGTGCCGTTGCCGGCTAAATAAAAATCGAAGAGAAAGAAGAAAAGACACAAAAAATATTGAAAGAAAACTAGATTGAAAGAAAAGAGAGGCGGCTAGGGTTTCTTATATTACTTTAGGAGATGTTAGAATTTAAATGGTTTAGTATGCAATTTTTCTTATTTAGGTGCCTAAAGTTTTTTTTGATAAATTCAGGTGTCTAACGTTTTCAACATTATATTTTTAGGTGCCCCGATTATGACAGATGTTGAATTATGTCATTAAGTGACCTTTGTCACGCTTAGATAATTTTTGGAAAATTTATTTTTTTAAAAATATAAATTTTAAATTTTTTATAAAAGCATCAAGTATCATTTAACGGTAAGATTTAACGATGATAACGTTCTTGTAACACCCCAACCCATATTCAACCCGAATACGAGTCTGAGGTGTCACATTGACTTTTCAAAATATTTACTTGTATAAAATAGTGGGTAATTTAAAACTTTTATAACATATAAAACGTATTCAAAACATTTACAAAACTATTCAGAGCTTATACAATATATTATTTTACCATACATGCCAACTAAAACTTTATGTATATAAAATACATATTATTCACCTCTCTTCTGATCTGACCTTCAGTAAGGAGAACTGACATGTCTTGTTCCACATTTCTCTTTACTCTTCTTAAAACCTACGTGTAAATCACTTACACGCTAAGTCTATGACTTAGTGAGGCAATAAACATATAATGAAAACTATAACTTGTAATCATGCATGAACAATTACTGCTATCACCTCATACCCAAACATATATCCATTCATATATCAAATCCACACATGCATATAATTGTCTTCTAATCTATCATTATCATATTATTATCATTCATATTTCTATTCTCTTGTTTATATGATCTATTATGTTCATATCATATATCTTATATCATATCATATAATTCATATCATTAACATTGAAAGAAAACTAGGTTCAAAGAAAAGAGTGGCGGCTAGGGTTTCTTATATTACTTCAGGACATGTTAAAAATTAAACGGTTTAGTATATAATTTTTCTTATTTATGTGCCTAAAGTTTTTTCAATCAATTCAGGTGTATAACGTTTTCAACGTTACACTTTTAGGTGCCCCGGTCGTGACAGATGTTGAGTTTTGTCATTAAGTGACATGTGTCATGCTCAGGTAATTTTAGAATTTTTTTAAAAATATAAATTTTAAGAATTATATAAAGTCGTCAAGTGTCATTTAACGGTAAATTTTAACTACGATAACGGTCTAAACACCTAAAAATGTAACGTGAAAAATGTTCGACACCTGAATTGATCGTGAAAGAGTTTAGGCTCTTAAATGAAAAAAATATAATTTGGACACTTATTTTTATATTAAGCCAGATTAAATCATTAATTTTCGAGGGATTAGAATGTTTTTATTTTATTTTATTAAATTATAGTTTTCTAAAGGACTAGAGAGAAATTATACAATTTCGAGGGACTGACTTAGCTCAATGATGGGGAAATAATAAACACTAAACCCTAAAATATTTTCAGCTTTGGGGCCATAGATGTAGTTTTCAATCACATTGACCCATAAAATTAGATTGTTTAAAGAAAAGTTTTAAATGATAATGGGAGCTCCACTTGCTAAAGTTTTTGAAAATAAGGACAATGTGAGCTCACTTAATTATGGACATTTTCAATTTGATTATTGATATATTATTTTTTTTCAATCAGGCCACTAATTATCTAAATGGTATCAATTAAGTTATTAAACGTTAATTTTTAATTGGAGTGTATTTAGCCTTCGACATTTACAAATTGTTTCAATTTGGTCATAAATTGAAAAACGTTATTATATTATTTCTAATTAAAATCAAGATCAAATTAAAAAGATTTACAAATTTAAGGGCTAATTTTTTTTTTGAATTACAACTAAATTAACTGACTTTATAAAATATGAAAGACTAAAAGCGAAATTATAAAAATTTACTTAACTGTGACGTCAATATTTCTGTTTGAAGTTAACATTTAGCGCCCTAATTAACCCTAATTAAATGTTTTGATTGAAATAAAATAATAAATTAGTGGTCAAATTAGAACCGTCCCATTATTAAGCTGCCGTTCATATAGCTTAATTATTATGAATTTGGAATTGAATTATTTCTAATCAAGATCATTATAAATTCAAATAATTAATTATCCGGTCCCATAAATTAAGTTTGTATACTTTGATAAGTTTGATTTGTGTGGATTATGAATTGGGTAAAGTACGCAAATGGTACCCGACTTTAGGATATTATTTTATTAAGTCCTTCAATTATTAAAAGTTAAAAATAGTCATTTGACTATAGAGTGTTGCTTTGTTGAGTCCATTGACTATTAAAAATTACAAAATTGTCACCCGACTATTCATTATGTTCCAAACTCGTCCTTTTTGGTTAAAAATGACAGTATTCTAAGTTGAACGTTAACATATTAACTGTGATATGATAAAATATGATCTCATAATCTCAAACAACTATCATATCTCAGTCATCATGTTAACGTCCTACTTAGGTAATTGTCAGTTTTTAACATAAAAGGACAAGTTTAAAATACAATAAATAGTCGAATGACCATTTTTGTAACATTTAATAATCAATAAACTTAACAAAATAACATTCTATAATCACATGATTATTTTTTAATAGAGAGAAACCTCATTGTAAACAAGCAGAAGTGGTAAAACAATGGGAGATAAAATAATTAATGATTAGATACCCAAAGGCCATATATATATATATATATATATATATATATGTGTGTGTGTGTGTGTAAACGAGGAAACGTCCAAATGCGAAATCCCAGAAAGGTAATCAAAGTTTTCAACTGTCTACCAGACAGAGGACAAAGAACGGCGCATGGGCCTCGAACGCGTTCACAAACGCCATCCCACGCCGCTATCCCATTTAGCCGTTTCAAGCCAGCACTCAGATCACACGCACCGGCACCCCCAGCATCGGATCCCGTATGACATCAGCTCGTCTTTTACTTTTTTAGAACCGCACTCTCTGTTATTTTATTTATTTATTTTTATTAAGCTAAGATAAATATAAAATAATATATGTTCTAAATACTCTCGATCGTTTTTAAATAAACGTCTAATCACTCTGTTACAGTCGCTGGTGTTCGAACCCATGATATTTAGAAAACAACGATTTTTTTAACCACTGAGATAAATTGGTTCGTATCTATTATTTTATTTGTTTATTTACTGTGACTGTTGATGGTGGATGGGATCAATCTTTATTGGGGTTGGAAATAAGAAAATTCAGTGGCTTGTGCCTTTCAAATTGGAGTTAGTTATGTATTTGTGTCTTAAAATTGTTTTATCCAAAAGAAAAAATCGGATAAAATGAGTAGAAAAACTTCTCTTAAAAGACTAACCAGTTGGTTTAGTACGATGAGGCACTAGATCTCTTAAGTAAGGTCAAGAGTTTGAATCCTGGTGTTTGTGAATGGAGTAAATTGTGTTGTGAGAGTCGTCATCGCCTTTGCAGTACCTGATCTGGATTAGTCGGTCAATAGATAATCTGATACCAATGATTAATTAAAAAAAAATCTGTAGTAACAAGAGGAACAATTTAATCCAAGTAAAATTTCGCTCTTTTCATTACACGATAAAAAGTAAGGAATTCAATTTGAGTACATTTATTTTTTTATGCAAGTTTATTATATAAATGAGAAATATGTTTTTATAAATAAATATTTCAAATTAAGATTTAGAAGTAAGTTGATTTAATTTTAAATCACATTTAGATATAAATAATTTTGTACTTTTTTACCTAATGACTTTTTATTCTACACGTGATATTTCGTGAAAATTGATTCTTTACCATTTTAAAATGAAAATAATTGAATTAAAAAAATTATGACTTTATTTAAGAAAATGAGATTTTGAATCAATGTGAAATTTAGAGTCGTCATCAACCTTTAGTTTAAGTAGGTCGAATACCTAAAATTATCGTTTAAAACAATTAAAAAAAACTATTTTAAAGACAAAAATCGGTATGCATTTACAAAAGATTCATTTTTAAGAGTTCGGGAGTCGATTACGCATGGGGAAAGGTAAACACCCACACAACGCTCAAAATCGGTAGCTAATCGCTTATATGTTGTCATAATAGTGGAAATCGCAATTTCGAGTCAATAATTAAAGTACGATCATTTTTATTGAAATTGATTAATTAAATTCAAGTTCACTTTTCGTTTGAATGTCATCGAATCACACTTCTCCTATAGAGATATGTTTTTCACGCCTGTTTTACGACGAACATTCTTGAAAATTGATTAATTGTATTTATATGTGTATGTATTAATTGTTCATTATA